TGTAAACATAAGAAGAAATCATGATGGAAGAAGAACCAAAACGGAAATGGAAAGCAACAGTAAGCGGATGCATTTGTTCGAAAATGCAAGTCTTTATTTGTACTACTGTTAACTAATGAATTACAGGATGTCTGTGTTTCAGTGTTTCAGTTGAAAGCTACAGCTTTTAACTGAGACGCCCAAATATGAGAGTATTCTATATATGTATGTGTTACATAACGTAATAATAACTATAATATTATAATTATTGCATAATTTATCATCAATTGAACTAATCGACAACACTAAAAATGCCGATTTTTTTCTACAGAGATCCTTTTTAGTTTTTATACATTTCTCTTTATTTTTTTTGCAAATTTTTAACAGTCGGCTCATTATTTTATATACTGAGTTGACGAATTATGATTTAATTAGATAATCTCGAAAAAGAATCGGCGTTTTCTTTTAAAAGGTCATACGAAAGAACTGTGTATTACTTTTCGGCAAAAAAAATCTCGTAACTGCAAATTTTCTTTCTAGTCAACTTTTGGCATTAAAAAAATTAAATAAGTCGTGGAAATTATATGAGGATGTATTGTATCTATTAAGCATCTTTTTTATCGACGTGAATAAACTTTACATTTTTCTGCATGAATGAAGAATAATATTTTTTTTACTTATTCTATATTGGCTGGCTAATTAAAAAATTTAACGACATATAATAAATAATGTTATAGATAAGACATAAGTACCACTTAAATTCGATGCAGTTGCTCTTTAACATCAAAGTGAACGAGAACGCATTGTAACACTATTAAAATTGTATTTTTTCTTTCCTTATCTTTGTCTCTGCTGCACTACAGATCAAGTATTTCCTCTATTGCGTTACTATTACTAGGTATAAGTAATATCAGTTAAAAAGTAATTTTATTTGTCAATATTACTGATTTAACTGATGGTATAGAACAGGCACATCCTTAACAAAATTTCTAATTTTCATTTTTTTGCGCTCTTCTTTTTTATCAAATTTGTTATAATTTATGATCACAGAAATAAAACATAAGAGCATGTTAACGGAGCCAGTTTGAAGGTTAGAAAGAAAAGGAGAACGAATTGTATTATTTTGTTTCTTTTTGACAACTATTTCAGGCATGCATCTAAAGACAAAGATAGAGGAACCTTGTTCATTTGTTTTTGTTCTTTCTAGATTTACATTGTGTTTTCAGCTCAATTGCATGCTCTTTTCTTATATGTCTATGTTTAGTATAAATACTGTAATATTTTGTTTCTTTAATCGTTGACGATTTTTTACACAGTTTCTTATTGAATTATATATGTGACCCTTTAGTTCAAACTATATTTGCACCAAAAATTATGGTGCAATTTTATGTATGTATACCTTTACATGAATAATAACTCAAATCATGATTTAGTTTAGGTTAGGCTGTGTTATTGTGTATGTTTTATGTTTGTACTATGTTACATTAATAACTTTTTCGTTTTTTTATTCGTATATGCTTGCTTCATATACTTTTATTTTTTATTTATATCTTATTACTGGACATCATTTTTGATATACTATTGGGTCATGTTGCACATGTGATTGTTATAATCTATACTGATTACATTAATCATGTATGTATATTGGTGGAAGTACATATGTAAAATATAGCCAAAATAAAATCATTGCAAATTTTTTCCTTTTTTACTTATATTTTAGTGATTTCAAATGTAATAAATGTTGTGATACGAGTGTCCTGTTAAATAATAAGTAAGTAATTTAATATAAAGAACGAAAAGACGAATATGTGACAAAATACAGATTAATAAAAAGGACCATTTTCCGAATTTCGCGCTTTGCTGTTAAGATACCACCTGAATCAACAGTTGGCAATGAACTCTGTGGTGGAAACATCACAGAGTCTTTTACAAAAAATAAACGTCAAAGTGACAGTCGTTTGTGCGGTTCGTAGACGCAATGCGGAAATAATGTGCAAATAACGTACAATTACGCCAATTAGCTATGTACTTTTTAATTTGATAGTGAACTCTAATTGTGATATTAATATGTTACGCAGAGGTGGACTCGGTGTCGATAATTTCCACAATTGGCCATCTCAAGTAGGACATGAGTTGCCTCAGGAAGATGAAGAACGATTAGAAAAGTTATTTTGTAAACTTGATAAGGACGGGAACGGTAAAATTGATATTAGTGATCTTTCAAGTGCTCTCAAAGAATTTGGGATTAATCTTCATTATGCCGAGGTATGTAAAAAAAATCATTACTCACGTTATCTTGTACATAACCTATATTTTCGAAACATTAATTTCCGTTATTTTTAATGAAATACTCATTAATTTATTAAAAAAAGCTGTTGATGCATTTCCTTATCGTTTGTACAAACAGTTATTTATTGAGTTAAAGTGCAGTAGAGTAATTTCCGCGTCATTAAAATTTATTGTTACAATAAAACCAACACTATTTTCAAGAGCAAATTTTCATATGATGTAATGTTTATGGGGCTCCCCTCGTGCTTTCCCAATAAATCATATTATCTTGACAATTAAATGTAGATTTAATATAAAATAAAACCGGTGGCATTTAATTACTACATACCTAGTATCTTTGTTAATTCATCCCTAATGAAGCTAAACTACAAAGTAAATAATAATTAATAATCCTTTTAATATGCATTCTTAAAAAAAAGTTTCTGAACCGTTAATTTATAATTAGTGATAAAGGTCTGGCAAATTTATGATTAATTGCCTCAATTATTATTATTTTTTTTTTCATTTGGCATTAATGCATAATTTATCATCAATTGAACTAATCGACAACACTAAAAATGCCGATTTTTTTCTACAGAGATCCTTTTTAGTTTTTATACATTTCTCTTTATTTTTTTTGCAAATTTTTAACAGTCGGCTCATTATTTTATATACTGAGTTGACGAATTATGATTTAATTAGATAATCTCGAAAAAGAATCGGCGTTTCCTTTTAAAAGGTCATACGAAAGAACTGTGTATTA